TTAATTTTGTTTCATTTGTAGTTGAAGAGAAATTAAGACATGGATACCGAGATTCGCCCGCCGGACGAAGAAGGAGAATAAATTGAAGTATTTTGAGGAGGTAATGTCTCCATAAAACTTAGTTGCTTATTTTTTGCAGGTTGTCATACCTAATTAATATATTTTTTTATAATTGGTCCGCCAACTGTAATCGATCCGAACTGACGAACGTGGTTACTATTGTCGATAGTGCAACGGCATTTGTGCAAATAAAAACATTATGCCAAAGTTATTCCAACTGAAAGGTAAAGTAATAAACTCTTATTTTTGACCAATCTAAAACAGGATTAATTAATTTTAAACTTTAATTAACTTCAGTTAGTGTCCTAATCTCGTGACTGCAAACTATTCGCAACTTCAATTGCTGGTGCAATTCCACAATGGCGAGGAACAAATCAATATTTACTTCACGAGTGTTTTTTCTTCAGCAATCAAAAATCAATCTCATGAGCGGCACTACCACTAGCACCAGGCCATCATTACCTCCTCTATGGCTAGATAATCATTTTAACATTTTGCCTACAAAATTATTTATAATTCCTCAAATTTCTCGTTCAGTTCAATCAGACACGTCAGACAGTTATATATCTTTATGCAATTTAGTCTACGACGTAAACGACATATCCTAATGGCGACGCTGACGTTGCTTCCAATTTTAAAATGGAATAAATCGCTACGGGGCTGGCACCCCTACGTCAAACAATAAAGTTATCTGTTACTTTTTGTTAGTTTTGTTAGTTGGTCGTACTAAAGAACTGGGAAAGATTTAGTCCCGAAAGTGCGAATCTTGGGTGCGAATCTAACCGAATCTTAGCCTTTTCTAATTTACGCATTCGCAAACTTGGATAAGCACAAGATTGCGATTAGACAGAGTGATCCACAATTGGAACTGGACAAACGTAATACAAATAAATATTAACATGTTGATTTCCATCATGACTTCTAATGCTGAACATGTTTCTAATATTAATTTATTTAACTTTTCATCTCCAAGGTTGAAGAATTGCTGAACAAACTACTGCAAACGCTTCACCTTACGAGGAGAGCTTCACCACCTGCCCCTCTCAGATCTTGATGTGCTTTGCAAATGTGGTAGGGTCCCATGAGTGTACTATAACCCTGAAGTGGTTTGACTCCATGGCCACATTTGCGCCCGCCACACCCACTCAAAGGGACGAAAACCACAAAAGTTACTAGTTTCAAAAATCCACCAAAAATCCAATTTTGATCAGATCTTGATAAAATTTACATTTTTGTAATCCCAGTTACTTGTTTGATCATATCCAGTAGCAATCTCAACTTTTTTGAAATATTCGAAATTTTCAGGCATTTTCGTGCTGATGAATTATTCGACACACAGCCGAGTAGGTGTGGCGGGCGTACCTGCGGCCATGGAGTCAAACCACTTCAGGGTTTTAGTACACTCATGGGTCCCTACCACATATCCAAAGCACATCAAGATCTGAGAGGGGCAGGTGGTGAAGCTCCCCTCCTAAGATGTAGCATTTGCAGTAGTTTGTTGAGCACTTCTTCAACCTTGGAGATGCACCTGGACAGATTTCACGGAATTAAGACATGGTAGGTCGTTTATCAATCAATTAAATTCCCCTTAACTTTACGGACGGTTGGTCCTTAATTGTAATATTTTGGAGAATACAATTGAAATATTGTACTTATCCAAGTTTGCGAATGCGTAAATTATGTACCTAGTAAGTGACTGACTTGTCTGACTGAACTGAACGAGAAATTTGAGGAATTATAAATAATTGTGTAGGAAAACCATTGAAACAATTATCTACCAAGAGAGGAGGTGATGATGGCCTGGTGGTGATGGTTGTGCTACTCAGTTTTTGCCAAATAAAGAGATAGGATTTGGTTGATAGGTGGCACTTGTTATGGATGTGATTGATTTTTGCTTGCTGAAGAAAATACACTCGTGAAGTAAATATTCATATGTCCTCGCCATTATGGAATTACACCAGCAATTGAAGTTGCGAATAGTCTGCAGTCGCGAGATTATTACACTAAAATTTAATTAAAGTTCGAAACTAATTAATCTTGTTTTGGAGTGGTCAAAAGATAAGAGTTCATTGGTTTACCTTTCACTTGGAATAACTTTTTCCCATTATGGGAATCCCATAATGTTTTTATCTGCACAGATGTTGTTGCACTGTCGACAATTTTTGTGAAGTACAACCGGTAACCACGTTCGTCAGTTATTAGCTTGGATCGATTACAGTTGGCGGACCAATTAGAAAACAATACATAAATTAGGTATGACAACCTGAAAAAAATAAGCAACTATATTTTATGGAAACATTACCTCCTCAAAATACTTCGTCAATTAAGTCTCCTTCTTCGTCCGGCAGGCGAATCTCGGCATCAACGTCCAAATTTCTCTTCAACTACAAATGAAACAAAATTAACTTAGGCAATAATAGCTAAGTTGTAACTATAATTTTTTTACCTTAAATTCACTATGACTATTTAGACAAGGTCTAAATTTTGTTCCTTTTCAACTTTGAAACACGAAGTAATTTTACCACCACAACTCCGCTGTTTTATTTGTTTCTGGTGCATGGGGTGGGACAAACTTGCCACTCTGCAAGTCACGTGTATAGCAAAGCTAACACCATGGTGCGGTTGTTGTGGCCATCACCACCAATGGTGACAAATTTAGATGATAGGGTTATCACCATTACGGTGATGCTTACTATTTCAACTCTCACCGTTATAACGCCTATCACCCAATTTCTTAGAGTGTACATAATACGTAAAGTAAATTTGTTATAAAGTTGTGAGAGATTTGACCTCATAAAGCTCTACCTATGTATACATATATGTATGTATGTGTATACATAATATGTATACACATACATAGTATTATACATAGTATAGTATTATATGTAGTATTATACATATGTAGACATGCATGAAACATTTATCAATAAATACTTACAAAATTATGAAAATGTAACAAAATGCATGCAAAATGCCAAATTTAAATTCACAAGAAAATTTATGTTATTGTAGCGTCGGTTGTTTTTTGATAGCAATAGAAGAATAGATAAATATATGTTTACAAATACATATATTTACAAATAAATATTGCAAAATGTGGATGGCTGAAATCATTTCAACCGTTTTACACATTTTAGTGAAATGTGTAAAACGTTTGTAAACGCGAAAAAAAATCAAGAAGCAACTGCTTTTCAAATGAGTGCATATGTATGTATGTACATATGTACGTACATACGTTATGTATCTACGTCCATATGTCCATAATATATGATACATAATCATAAAAAGTTGCAAGGTCTGCATGAACTACAAACATTTGTATGTGCCAAATAACCACAACTTCAAATCGCCTTACATATATAGCTTCGTATGTACATTACGTTGTAAGACTAATCTGCAAAACTGTAATTATTTACGGCTCAGCTGTATAAATCGCTATCAGGATAGATTTACAGATAATTAAGTACAATAAAGCTGCGAAAACCTGGTTTAATTGTGGTGATGCTCAAGTCTGACTAGGGAACCCATGTTACAACAAGACGACTTCGTGGCGCAATGGTAGCGCGTCCGACTCCAGATCGGAAGGCTGCGTGTTCAAATCACGTCTTGTATTGATGTGTGTCTAGAACTGTTTTTGAGTTAAAAAATACACTTCTTATGTTGAGCTTAATGAATTGTTGTCATAATTTCCAAATTTCTAAATCAAGCCAATCAGGGTTCGGAAAAACCTGGGGCGCCTAAAGATTCCCACGAAGGATTTATTCACAGGCGGATAATTAGGGGCGCCAGAAAAATTTTGCCTAGGGCGCAAAGATTCCCAGCCCGGGGCCTGTATGCATCTAGCTTGGCATTATCTTAATACCCGATTTCTAATCTGTAGTTTCACCCGTTCTGTACAAATAATGTCAACACTCAAAACCCCTTAATTTTTTAACGATTTTCTTAAATTCAAAAATACCTTGACTGGTAATGTGACGCTAAACAATTTACCAAGTAAATACTTTATATGTTGCACTTTTACAATGAACTTGTACATACATAAACCAACATATTTAATTTATGCCCTAACCTCGGTTAGCATAACGGCGAGATGGGGATTATTATCGCTTGTATGGTAACGGTCGTGATTCATTGTGGTAGAAGAAGCTGTGTCCATGCATGTATTTATTACAAAGTCCAGTGCATATTTTTAATAAATTGGTACTGATCTGCTCTACAAAATGACCAGATCGAATTTAAAAATACATTCCCAGAGCCGAGAAATGAATAAAAATGTGCAGATTTGTAGACCTTGACATCACAGGCGATGAATCACCCAATCCAACGTTAAGGCATGATGTGCAATGTAAAAAAAGTTGACTAAAATTGCCATCAATACAACTGTTGGATAAAATCCGCCCAGCATTGCACGACAAATAAGCAAAAGTTGACAAATTTTACTCAATTTTGAGTAACGTTTATCCAACTTTTGGTGGCAATTTTACTCAATAGATCTCAATCTATACAGAAATAGTAAATATGGACACACTCAGTATGGATGCTGTGAAAATATGGATAATATGTATTATGGCTTTATTCTATTTCATAAATAATGTACACATTTATATGTATGTATGTCTAATCCAATTCTACATATGTAGTTATAGCCCGAGTCTCTCTGTTTAACCCAATGAGCACACCTTCATTACCCCTTTTCCCTCCCGTCAAGAAATTCGCTACCCTTCACATTTCCTGAAGGGTAGCGTTGCATTAGTGCATATTAAAACAATACATTCATATAAATATATATATATACATACGTACATACATATACTTACGTGCTTAATTGTCTAAAAAGGGGTTCACATTCCTTGAGGAAGGGTCGCATTTTGTAAGCTATTTTAAATCATGGTATCAGTTTGTAGTTATGTAGATAGGAAGTAGAGAATTCTATCGCTCACATAGTTTTCAGCTTTTTATGCCATTTGTCGACTGACATTTTGACTTCCTTTATACTCACCTTCGTAGGATGGTCTAGGTACATACGTAAATACTAAAGCTACCTTTTTTAATTGAATTTATCACATAATTTATTAATGTATAAATTATACAATTTATTTATTAATTCGGATAACAACAGGACTTTTTTAGGACCTTTTCCTTACATGGGCACAAAGATTTTTCTACCACGATGAACTCCAACCGTTGCCATGCCAACGATAATAAACTCCATCTTGCTGTGAAGCTTCCAGAGGTCAGTATACATTCACTCCTTCATACCAAATATTTATACTGTACACTATAACAGTACCGTAACAACAGTGGTATATGGTGGTACGAAATACCAGGCCCGGGGCCCGCAAGGGCCCGGGCCGGATCGCTAGTTTTACACTAGATATAATGGACTTTGTTGAGTATTAAAGATTTTACGAAAAAATTATTCCACGCAAATAAATTTTCTTAAATCTAACGTTAAACTGGTATATCTCATTTGTTTTTCATTTTAAATGATTTTTGTATGAATTTCATTGGCTTACACTTTTGTGAGGATTTAGACCAAACATCCTTTGTAATTATTACATTTAATAGTTTGGCTTTCGAATTTTAATTAATATCCAAAATTCTGATTTTAGTGGATACTGCATTTAAAAATTCATCTAAAAGCGAAATTAAGCGAATTATAGAAACCTAAAGGTCTTGGTCGAATTATTTCTCTGCATTACGGAGCGTCCATTAATCACGTGATCGATTAGAGGGGGAGAGGGGGTCTGAAATTTGTCACCAATTATCACAGGGGGGGGGTAGATGGTCAGATGTCACGTGACATGAGTAAAGTTTTTTTTAACTTTTGTATATGTCAATAAATGTCATGAGAGTTACATATAAACTCTCTTGGCATACCACACGCACGTTAAATAAATTTGATTTTCATTTTGCATATTTAGAAACTTGCTTCGACTTAAATTCTTATGTCTGACTGGCGTATTAAATAGTTATTTACACATGCGCGTAATGTAGCTCTAATTTGATTAATGATTTAAAAAATATTATTATTCCGGACAACATGATTTAATTTGAGCATCATCTCCTGTCACGTGACCGGTGGGGGGGGTAGCGAAATTATTACAAGCGGTCACCAAGGGGGTGGAGGGGGTCAAAATTGTCCAAAAATCGATCACGTGATTTATGGACGCTCCCTATAGCAATTTAAAATTTGTAGGGTCAAAATCGGAGAAGATCACTTCATGCCTTCGAATTTTTAGTTACAGTATGTAACTTATTTAATGCTACGATTTTCAATTTCAAATTCAACTTCAATTTTCCCAAGAACAGGTAGATATATCAAAATTGTTTTCATACCAATTATTCACCATATATTGGAATACATTGAGGCAAATTTTCAGAGGAATGGAGATAAAACTGCTGAATCCAAAAATATTTTAATGTCAAAATATTGCAAATTGCACGTTACATAATTAATGCTACGGTGGTAGGAGCGGTTCAATATTTCGTTAGACCCCAGTAACTGATTGAAATCGTTTGGGCATCTAATCCACCAAGCTTTCGGTTATGCTATGGTCGGTGTTTATTTATTTTCTGTTATCACGGTGTGTCGGGGAGCCGTGCTTATCGGTTTTGGTGTTGTCACCAGACGCCGCAGGGTTTTTAGGTTATGCTCGATCGAGTTGAGGTCAAGAAATTTTAATGTCCAGTCCAAAACCTTTATATTATTATCCTTGAGGCATTTAAGATGATTTTTGTAATATTTGTCTAATATCCGGCCATTGTTGAAAATAATTCTCTGACCAGAGTCTTTCTTTGTTGTGAATTGGCCAAGACTTATTTCTAACAAAGCAAGGTAAACCTCTTTGGTCATGATCCCATCGACGTACGTCAATGCTACTACCCTGTGGCAACATATACTGCCCCAAAACCTGACCTCCCCGCAAGATTTCGAAAGTTTCATACCAGGGTTTAGCGGTTCACACAGCTTAGATTTCCTTATCTCTGCTATGTTCGATAATTTGTCTCAGAAATTAATTCCTTGAAACTTCTTTGGGCTCCAAACACACTCTTACCGTTCCATCTGAGCTAAAAAGTTGAATTATGGTCTAATCTGGGAACAGAAATTTTTTCCGGTAGACATGGGATCATCTTCGCTTTGCATTGCCCACCCCAAGTGTTTCTTGTGGTTGCTCCATAAGATGCATGGTGTATAATTTGGAATTTCCCCGGATATTCCTGCGAATATCAGCCTGCGTCTAATCATTCATAGGTGTAGAGCAGTAAAACGGTCACTTTGAACATCTTTCGCAATTTCTGGCGCGGACAGACAAGCATTATTGTCACTGTTTTTACAATCGTCGCGTCCGCGTGTGTTGTTTTACTGGGTTTTCGACCCTGACGATGACAATTCGCTACAGCTCCTGTGGTTTTCCTTTCCTTCGCGAGTTTTGGAACAGATTCGGTGTGTATTTTAAATCATTTCCGAAGTTTCCTTGAATTTAGACGTTATTAATGGAGACAGGTCAATTTTCCAATATTTTGATACTGAGAACGGTGTCCTTTGTTGTTTATTTATTATAATTCGGCAGATTATGTTCATCTGTAGTAGAAATACTACAGAATTGTTTGTCCATTCGAAACTCTGCTCCGTATTTAGGAAAAACGGCAAATTTGCACCGGTTGTGTATCGTAGCATTAATTATGTATCGTGCAATTCGCAATATTTTGGCATTAAAATATTTGTGGATTCAACCGTTCTATCTCCATTCCTCTGAAAATTTGCCTCAATGTAGTCCAATATATGGTGAATAATTGGTATGAAAACAGTTTTGAAATATCTACCTGTTCTTGGGAAAATTGAAGTTGAATTTGAAATTTATTAAATTTATTCATTAAATAAGTTACATACTGTATATAAAATACCGTCATATGTAAATTACCTGACACCAAAGTTTCTCAAAATTTTGCATATTGCTATTATACTTTTTTTGTGGGATTGTGGGAAATTCTGTGTACGTATCCAAAGGGTGGGTACATTCTTAATTCCATGAAACCGAAAATATGCGAACGGGAAAAAAGCAAAATACTTTTTGACAACTTCAAATGTGCCTTGCTGTAGGGGGCAAACCCAGGGGACAAACTTTGGCACATATATTTATAGTGTGCCTGCTTTAGGTCCAGATGCAGGTCTTTTATTCTTACAGCTGGATGGCATTTTAAAACTATTTTCAGCCAAAATGTTGGATTTTCAAAATACTGTATGTTTTCAAATTTGTCAAGAAATCAAAAATATGGGTTCTAAGAATTACATGGAATTGAGTTTTCAGACCTGCATTTTCACTAATTCCAAATGCAGTTGGCAGTTTCCCAAACTTTTTGTGACAGACAGAAAGGTACTTAGTTAATCGGAAAGGGCTTAGGAACTTGCGAAATGAGCGAAAAGCATGTTCCGAAGCGAACTAATTTTAAATTATTTGCCCAAAGCAAGAAAATCTAATAGGTATTTTTGCGATTTTTTGAATGTGTGTTTTTTGCATGGGACGAAAATTTTAAAATGTATATTTTCAGCCCAAATCAGAAGTTTTCAAAGCGTAACTTCCCAATTTTAACCTGATTTCAAAACTTTATTTTAAGAACAACTTGGGGTAATTTTTAAAAAATTCCAAAATTTCTTTCAAAATTCAATTGGGTAAATCGACAAAATATATTCAGTTTATTTCCGTAAAAAACAAGTAAAAATTTATCTGATCAAAATCGGGTAAAAGTAATCCCCGTCTAACCAACCAAATGATTACGAAATTCAAAAACTGGTTGTTAGAGATATAAAATTGTCGAAGGCGCTAAAACAATTACACTGTGCGAATGTTTCTATATTAAAGCCGGTGCCTAATTAAAAACGCCCCTTAAAACCTATAAGAACACATGAATATATTGCATATTTTACGGTTATAGTAATTTGAAAATAAATGTAAGAAAACAAAGTTTAAAAAAATCCAAAACATAAAATTAAAAATGAATCCAAAAAACATGTCCCCAAGTGTCGTTGGCACAGAGGATGGAGCGCATGTGCGCTTCGAGCCCATGCGCTCGGCTTGGTTTGACCTGCATATGAGGTCAGCGTCATAGCTCCCAATAAATTGGTCCATGGTCCATGGTCCATGATCCATGGTCCATCACAAATGGTCCATGGTCCATGGTCCATCGATGGACCACTTGAAAAAATGGTCCATGGTCCATGGTCCATCGATGGACCACTTGAAAAAATGGTCCATGGTCCATGGTCCATCGATGGAACACTTGAAAAAATGGTCCATGGTCCATGGTCCATCGATGGAACACTTGAAAAAATGGTCCATGGTCCATGGTCCATCGATGGACCACTTGAAAAAATGGTCCATGGTCCATGGTCCATCGATGGAACACTTGAAAAAATGGTCCATGGTCCATGGTCCATCGATGGACCACTTGAAAAATGGTCCATGGTCCATGGTCCATCGATGGACCACTTGAAAAATGGTCCATGGTCCATGGTCCATCGATGGACCACTTTAAAAATGGTCCATGGTCCATGGTCCATCGATGGACCACTTGAAAAATGGTCCATGGTCCATGGTCCATCGATGGACCACTTGAAAAAATGGTCCATGGTCCATGGTCCATCGATGGACCACTTGAAAAAATGGTCCATGGTCCATCGATGGACCACTTGAAAAATGGTCCATGGTCCATGGTCAATCCATGGACCACTTGAAAAATGGTCCATGGTCCATCAATGGACCACTTTAAAAATGGTCCATGGTCCATGGTCCATCGATGGACCAATTTTTTGGTGGTCCATGGTCCATGATGAACCATTTTGGTCCAGTGGACCATGGTCCATTGCGAGCTATGGTCAGCGTTAGATCTAATTGGGCTCTGGGGAGGTGGGAAAGTATGGCGCAAAGTATGTCATATTCGCGTATTTATCCACTCTAAATAAGTTTGTGGAAATTCGGACCAAGTTTGTGTAAAATAGAGGATGACACAACAATTGGGTAAAACTTAGACCAGGGTTGGATAAATTTTGTTCAACTTGTGTAAAATTTATCCTATGGTTGAGTAAAATTTACCCAACCCTTGTATAAATTGTACCCAATTGTTGTGTCATCCTCTTTTTTACGCAAACTTTGTTAAATTTAGCACAACTCTTATTTAGAGTGTGCAACTATGGTGTTCATAATTGAATTTTCGCCGTCCCGCCGGCATTTTCAAAAATATGGCTCAGTTAAAAACGCAATAAATTTTCACTATTTTCTCATTGAACTGGCAAAATAGTGCACTCTTGAATCAAGAGTCTTGATACTCGTAGAATATTTTCTCGTTCCAGAATACGGTGCGATAACGACTACATATGGAATACATATATTGAACTTATGAAAGGGCCCGGCACTTAAACTCATACCAGGCCTGGTAATTTCACGGTGCGGCTCTGCACTATAAATAATTTGTGGACAAATCGTCACCCGCGGAGGTACTACATGCACTTTTTGGGAGTGATTACGTAGTCATTTTGTCACCAAAAGGGAAATGAAGTCAAAAGCTTATGTTTTAAGCACAGTTGTCGTCGTCATTAAAAAAATTGAAAATTTTAATCATCTGAACTTAAGATTTTTTATGTTAATTTTTTTAATTACGGATGTCAAATGTGTTGGGTACACGAATTTTTGGTCTATGTATTTCCCTTAATCATTAGGCAAGAATAGAGCACTATTTATTTGGTGTGCGGTCGAATTGCATAATTTTTTTGGTATAACGACAATTTGGTATAATTTGATTTGGTATAATATTGTTGGTATAATTTAAGGGAACCATTTGGTATAATGAAACTCAGGGATAATTCTATTAGGGATAATTATATTTTAAGCTTTAAAGGGACCATAATTCATTCCATTCCTTCTTTCCTTGCATTCTACATTCACTCGAATTGCACTCCGAAGTCATAACCATGTCCACTTAAAACGCTATATTTGTACCAAAAACAACTGCAAGAATGACACAGAGTACTATATTTGCACGCAAAGAAATAAAATACCATGGAGGATTGGCATTTACGCATAAATATTATGTGAAAAGCCATTGAAATATTACAAAATGAACAAAGCCATTGGAATTTGGAAATCGAAAAATTGAAATCTGAGCAAGTCGAGTCACAGGATAAAATTTACAGGGACCTGGATAAGCGACTCCTCTTGATTGTAGAAAATTACAACACTGTTCTTGACACTTTCGACTATTGGAAAATGCCTTCACAACTACATGACTGTTTAAAATTTAATTTAAAATTTAATTTTGATTTTCGTATAATTATCCCTTTTTAATTATCCCTTATATACCCTTATACCAATTTGTTTTATACCAAAAAAAATTATACCATATTGCATTATCCCTAAAAAATTATGCAATTCGACCTACAACCGTTAGTGCCTGACGATTTGTCTCTAAATTATTTACTGTGTGATAATATGTACGTTTAGAGTGTCGAAGGTTTCTTACGATGTCCATAAATCTTAGAAGTCCTTACTATTTCAGATTTTACGAAAAATTGCGACCTTTCTCCCCAATTCGGACCTCCTCACCTGCACCTTAATCAACACCACGTGGGAAGCCGAAGTTCGCCACCGCCTCCTCACTTTACACCGGCTTTCCCTTACCCCAGAAAATATTATCGACTCCGACAAAATTATTACCACGCGAGGAAACCACCCCACAAACATAGATCTCCACCAATTCCCTAATCTCTCCTCTTGTGCAGATTTCATTTACAAAAATGCCCACAGAGTGAAAACCCTGACGATCCGTTTCGTCTTCCCTGACCCCACGTGGCTCCAATATTTGCATTTCGTCTCACAGTCCTTCCCGAATCTGACTACCCTCAAGTTGACCTTGATCTCACCTCAGAGTACAATTTTTGACAATTCCGTTCCTTCCTTGAAACTCCCACCAAAACCGAATTCTTCATTCTTTAAAGTTAAGAAACTAGGGATTATCTCGTACCACGTGCCGGGCAAGTCTGCCGACCAGGATGCATTAATTGCGTCAATATTACCCCAATTTGTCTCATTATTCCCCAATCTCGTGACCCTCTCGTGCCTCGAAATTGGGCAACTCATAGTACAAAATTTCCTTAATTGCTCCCCCTCCATGACCTGTTTGGCTCTCAAATATGTCGCCTTGAAGGATCCCATGCGACTAAAAGTTGCCCATCTGACCCACCTTGACCTTGGTTTCCTCGGCTTTACCCCGGCATCTTGTTTAACCGCGATACTCAAAATTATCTCGGGAACATTGCGTCACCTTAAATTTTCCCAAGTTAGAAACACTACTCCCACCCTAAATTCCCTCCGAAGTCCCATCCTAGTTCCGATCATGCCGCAATTACGGGTTTTCGAACTAGTACAAAATCAATTCAGGGATCGAGAAGGGTATCGAGATTCCCCGCTGAGGCCAGATTTGATCCTGAAATTTGAGGCGGGTGGTTCAAAAAAGAGGATACTTTACGACGTGCAGTTTCCCGCGCTGGAAACGGTGAGGATTTCGCGGGAAATTGAAAAGAGCTACGATGACCCCGACGAAGAAAAGATGCCGGAACAAGACTTTTTTGAGACGAGTGTCTCCTTTTTGTTCGAGTATTTCCTGCACGAGAATAATTCGCAGGGTTTGAGCGTGAAACGGTTGGATGTCCCGTTCCCGCCGGGCGACAGGTTTAGGTTTGTTCCCGGGGTAAAATGTGAGTGTGGGGGTGGCAGATTTTGTACTTGTTTTGAGTGGCAGGATTCATCCGAATTTTGGGACAGGGTGGTGGCCATTTTCCCGAATTTGGTGAGATATGCGGCCATGGGGGGAAGTTGGGAGAGGGCGAGGGCGGCCAAGGTGAAACAGTGGGTCGAGTTGGGGACAGAGTTGGGCTTTTTGAAGGAAGTAGAGGGGAAGTTGGGGGAAATTCTGGATTGAGTTTCTAAAAGCTACATATTTAAACCATGATTGTATTATTTGTGGGGGTGAAGAGAGTTGGAAGAATTTAAGTTATGAAGGCGACGAAGTATTCTTTGCTGTGTTAAAAGGAGAAATTATCAACTTAATTTATTTGCCCATAATTTAGTTTTACTTATGAAAAAGGAAATATTAATGGACAAAGATCATATTCGTGTACCTACATAGATATCTAATTGTTTTGTATTAAATGTCTTCCATGCACATATATTTAGTTTGTACTTTTCTATTTGTCCTATTTACATTGGCAGAGAAAATTGAAATTCTCACCTCCTGCATAACTTGACAAATCTAAAACTTATCTATTACAAATTTGTATTAGATGCGATAAAATCTTCATCTTGCACGAAACGTAGCGAGATGACCAGGCTTCAAAATTTCCGTTTAAATAAGTACATGAAAGTTGGGACACACAAATTCAAACCCAATTACAAGAAAACCTTAATTACCTACGCTCCATTCAAATGCAGTTGAACTATTACATAAATTAAGAATTCTGAGAAAATATGCCACTCTCAGTCTCAAATTTCCTCAAATGATGACCACCAGGAGCTTTGAGACTGGCAAGTGCGTAGTTTCTCATAATTCTCAAGTTCTGTAAAAGTTCAACTGCATGCGAATGGAGAGTACGTACTTGTTGACATAAGCATGTAGCTAAGATTTTGGCTACCCTTACTACCACCAGTCCAGCAATGTGGTGAAAAGCATGTGTCACATTAGTAGGGAAATCTATAAATGTTTAACAAAAAGGGTCTACATTCCTCGGGAAGGGTAGCATTTTGTACACTATTTTAAACCATGGAATCACTCAATTGAAAGGACAGAATTGCATCGCTTACACATTTAGTCGTCACCCTCTAATGTCCACTGTAGGTTGACATTTTTAATTTTTGTTGTATCTAGGATTGCCTAGGTAAATAATAAAACTACATATTTCACTTAAATTTATCATATAATTAATTAATTTATAGAAACAACTTTGAAGACGTTGTCATTTCCTACATGGACACGACTGGTTTTCCTACCACGATGAACGCAAACCGTTACCATGGCAATGATGATAATCCCCATATCGCGGTTATGCTACCAGAGGTAAGAGCTGCATGCATGGGTTCACTGTAAATAATTTAGAAACCAATTCACCCGCGAGGATACTGTAGTGCAACGTATATTTTTGGGTAACGATTTTGGCGACGTTTTGCCACCAAAGGAAAATAAGTAAAAAAAATACGTGTACCAAGCACATATCACGTGGTTTAACAAAATGCGCATTTTTATCTGAGTACATATGTATGTACATACATTGGGGAGCAAATTAAACTATACGGTGGAAAAACTGTTCTATGTATCCGGCACATTGACCAGGATAAGGGCTCGAAAATTTGTAAGGTAGTACCCAGAAAGATTGTCGTTGGACGTCGCTCCTATTATTGAAGAACGTTAAAAAGGTCATAAGTCAAATTGTTTGACCCGATGGCTCACTTTTAAACCCTTACAGTGATTTGTTTCCTCTGATAATTTATTTTGGATCGATAGCTCAAATCAATGTGAAGATTATGATATTTTTTTAAGTTCTCTACGATTTTTTGAAGCAAGTGATGAATTTTTGTAAAATATGAATGATACAAATTTTTCCAAATTCTCCCACAAGCGCAATGTTAAACTTTTCAAAATTCGCTTTTTCGCTTTGTCTATTATTTGTTGCACACTTAATAATTTAATGTCAAATGCCATGACATTGTATATACCGATTGAAATAATCGCGATCGGTTTGCGGTATCATACAGGGGTATGCTACCCCAGGGGTATGCTAATTTGCCCCCAAATTATTTAGACCAGATTTCTTATAGTGTGCATACAAAAATCTGAGAAAGTCCTTACTATTTCAGATCTTACGAAGAATTGTGACCTTCCTCCCCAAATCCGACCTGCTCACTTGCACTTTCATCAATACCACGTGGGAAACCGAAGTTCGTCACCGTCTCCTCAATTTATACCGGATTTCCCTCACCCCAGAAAATATTACCGAACACGACAAAATTATTATCACGCGAGGAAACTGCCCCACAAACTTAGATCTCCACCAATTTCCTAATCTCTCCTCTTGTGCAGATTTCATTTACAAAAATGCCCACAAAGTGAAAACCCTGGGGACCCGGTTGGTCATCCCGGACCCCACGTGGCTCCAATATCTGCACTATTTATCACATTCCTTCCCCAATCTGACCACCCTCAAGTTGACCTTGACCAAACCGAACAGTGCAATTTTTGACAATTCCGTTCTTACGTTGACGCCAAAACCGAATTCCTCATTTTTTAAAGTTAAGAAGCTTAGTATTATCTCGTACCACGTGCCGGGCCAGTCCGCCAAACTTGAGGCCACAATTTCCTCCATAATACCCCAATTTGTCGCATTATTCCCCAATCTCGAGACCCTCTCCTGTATCGAAATTGAGCAATTGATGACAGAAAATTTCCTAAATTTGGCCACCCCCACCCGCTTGGCCTTAAAACATGTCGCCTTAACTGATCCCATGGGACTAAATGTCGCCCATCTAACCCACCTCGACCTTGGTTTCCTAAGCTTAGGGCGGCCAAGGTGAAACAGTGGGTCGAGTTGGGGACAGAGTTGGGCTTTTTGAACGAGGTGGAGGGGAAGTTGGAAGAGTTGAAGGTGTGAGGGCGACGAACAGTGGCCGCGGAAGCCGTAGGGACATAAACACTACTGTTGGAGAGAGGATGGAGGGATTTATATATATTAATAGTGTAGGCAGATGAATGGGAAATCTAATAAGCGTGGGGACATTGTCCACACGCTTCCGCAGCCACTGGCGGCCAGATCTTACCATAATTAATTGTTACTGGTGGACGAGGAACAGCTTACTTCCTTATAAAGATTGAATGCATTTATCTAATTTTTAATGATAACTACGTGACTATATAAATAGATAAATAAATATGTATCTAAATATTACATAGAACTTTTCAGTAATTCGTCAACAAGGTCGAGAAAATGTTGTATTATTTAATCTAATCTTTATAAGAAGATGAATAAGCAAAACAAATAAATTCACACCATTTTGGATTTTTTACAAATTTTCATTTTTATAGAAACGCACATATACATAAATATGCATACGGAGTTAATTTAACTTCTGATCAGCAGGAGAGAATTTTTTTTAACAAGTACGTAAGTGCATACATATGTACAAATGGGATCCAGTCATCACCATTTTTCCTTGAAGCCTTGTCCCATAAAACTTTTCAAGGGATCGTTTTCTACTGTCTGCAAAGAATATGTCACCTTCTCCATTCCCGCCTGGCTGGCCACGTTGGTCGTAACAACCTTGTAATTATTTTCATCCAGATAGTTGAGATAAATTGACAGCACGGAACAAGTGACGTCTACATGATGACCTGCAAAATTTAAGACATCATCTAGTATTTTTGCTGTCTTTAGAGCCGGCTATACGTAAATCGAGTATCTTCGGTACAGAGGTCGACGCCGCCGATCTCACGCCGCCGCGCCGCCATACGCCGATGCATTTTACGCGCCGCCGCCGCCGAAAAATTTGATTTCCTATTTAGTTACTATTCCTTTAACATTGCGACGCCGCGCCGCGCCGCCAACGCCGCCGAAAAATCACCAAAAACTTGCGCCGCCGCCGCCGAAAATTTGTCGGCGTCGACCTCTGCTTCGGTATTATTTTTAATGTGCCCTTCGCCTACCGATTCGTCCATCGCGAATGACCTTATCCATCCGTACGACGGGGTCAGTTTTGTCCTTAAATATTCCAATCTGCTGGGATCCCACGTACCAATACTTCACAGGCCCTTTTCCATAGGCAACGAGTTCTGGAAACCTGGATTTCAGATCATTTTCCAGACAGGCAGGTATTCCATAGAGGTGAATGTGCCACTTAATGTGGCCCTGTTTGTTATACCTGGAAATGTGCAGGAGAATTATTATTGTAAAGATTTTAGTTTAAATTTCACACACATTAATTTAGAAGAAGCTTAACGGTGAGCGTTGTACTTAAAATTAGTTAATAGATAAGCACATATCTTTTAGAGGGTAAACTCTTGGACCAAATTAGTCTCAATAAATCAGAGATTTGATTAGGATAAAACATACCCCAAAAACTTTAAAAAATTGCACTTTCCAAATTTTCTCATTTTCGGATGCCAAACATATGCATGTAACCATTTGGACTTGATGTCCATTACAAATTCCATACTAATTAGTAAAGTTTATGATGGATTCGAACAAACTGGCCAAAATCGGAGAGAATATGCTGAGAGAGCTCGATTGTTGGATATATGTAATTACATAATTCAAACGCCACTAATTTGGTAAAGTATTTACCAATTACGCGAATTTCCTAATAAGAAATTTTTATTGCATACTTAAACACTTAAGAGTATATTTAATTGCGCCTAAAATATGTTAGTAGAAAAAGTAAGCGTTTAAATAAATCTCTCTCACGTGATGGAGGTGACTGTGCAAATTGGCATCTTTCCGTGAGTATGTTTAGAATACGTTGAAAACTTGGCAAATTTAGTTTCACACCTGTACCAAGCGAATATTGATTGCGCACTAAATTTTTAGCTACGATTGACAGGTGTCCTGAGCAAATGCACACTCTTAATAAAATCAATACCATTTTAATACCACGGCCGTATTATATGGTGACTCTACCGTTTTGGTATTGATATAATACCCTGCGGTATTATTATGAGTAATACTGCCGCGGTATTACTTTATTAATTTATAGTATTAAACAATGAACTTTCAGTATAAATCGTCTTGTAACTCTCGGTATTGATTATTAAATGTACAGTATTAAAACGTTAAAGCATGATAATACTGCCCGGTATTATAAATAATACTATAATTTGATGCCTTTATAATGAAAAATAATACTGCACGGTATTAAATCATTAATTGATGGTATAAAATGCATTGTACATAATCATATTTTATTTTCAATAAATTACAACTTTTAACAAATTTAAAATAAAAATTACTGCTATAATAAATAAATAAAATTATTTATAACTATTACTACTTTACAGGACAAAGTTTCATGAAATATATATATATATATAACTTACAATTAAATATTACTACAAAAAATGTCTAGAAATTACAAATAATCCTGACAAATTACAATTTTGTTTAATCTCCATCGCATCATGTGTTACTAGATCTTTTACATTTATTACTCTGTACAAATTTTCAGTTACTCTAACCTTATAAGCAAATAAATGGCGATAAAAAAACTCAGTTTCCAGAACTTTGAGAATAAGCAGACATGAATTATCATTTTGAATCAGAAATTCAGAAATTATTTAAAACTTTGGAAATATTGTTCCCATTTCGAAACAAACCACAAAGTTGTGTTTATAATTGTAGCCATTGAACCAAATCTGATTTGTTGTCATCATTTCAGTTTTAATACAGATATCATGATCGTTTAAATAGTTTTTTAATGATTCTACAATATCGAAGGAATCATCAAACTCAGACATAGTAGCTTTACAAATTTTGTCAGTCTTAATTCCATGATGGAAATCTAAATTTTTGAAAACATGCGAACTATATTGCTGATGCCTCATGGCAAGTGAAAAACAAATATTTTTAAAGTTTCTATTGTTATGGGCCAATTGAGCAAAATAATTGTGTTTTCCTTCAAACCGCATTGTCCATAGAGAAATTAAAGGGCCAGACATTTTAATTATAAATGGATAATGACACATAAAATGGTGTTTGGGTAGCAAATTTTGATCTGGAAATAGAAATTTAAAGAGCGAATGGTGTTTAATTATAAGCGATTTCAAGGTTAAAATTGATGACTCATTAAAAGATCGAAAAAATATAAAGCTCATGCATTCTAATAATTGCAAAATTAAATCCCAATATTTTAAATGGACTTCATCGACAATTAAATCTCCCAAAATCATTGGTAAAAACCTGATTAAACACCAAGGTTGCGCAGCTTTTTGACCGATTCTATTTCCAGTTCCATCTAATTTTATTGGACTTGGTTTATTTTTCGATTCTAAATATCCAAAATCAAAAGCGGAGATTATGTTGTTGACTGTTTCAAGATTAAAACATCCCAAACTAATTAATTTTTTGAAAACTAATTTAATTTCATATGGCACGAATCCCTCCAAGAGATCATGCATTATGTCAGCTGTTGGAGAATCTAGAAAATGGTAAAATTGAAGCGAATTTAATTCACAAGGATATTTTTTACTCCAAAAGTTTCTGAATTTAAATGTAAACTATAATTGGTCAAATTTCGTATCGGCATATAATTATGGTCAAATTCATTTTGGATTTCAGCCTTTGAAATATAACAAATTCGACAGAAAAAATTAGAATTAAATGATTCTGTTAAACCAAGTAACGAATTTCCACCCAAATTATCGTGAACGACAGAACAAACTGTGCCTCGAAAAATATTTCCCCCAATTGAAATTCCTGTCGTTTCTAAAATCTTAATGTCAGGTAAAACATGTTTTAAAATTGACCCATAACCATATTTTTTTGCGTCTTCACTATAAAACAAAGCTAACAAATGAATTTGCGAAAGTTGAGAATTTATATAATCGGGCAAATTACGTAAAATAAAATAAAGCGCCCCAAGTTTGTGGATCCCTTTTTTAGATCCCAAAGGATTAACTGTTTCAAAGTCATCATAGAATAATTGTAACTGGATTGATTGTGGATATTTAGAAAAGAGTTTGTTATTTTTAAATGAGTCACAGAATTTAAAAATTTGTCCATTGGGTTTTGAAATAGATTCGAAATATTGGTATAATTGTGGAATTTGGATTATTTTTTCAAGTGTTTTCAGCAGAGGTACGTACATAAACGTATCTTCCACGACTACTTGTTGTCTTTTTGCATCTTTAATTTTAGAGTCTATTCTGCTCCCTAAACTTATCTCAGTTGGTAAAATTAAATTATTTCTGCTCTGGTACAAGTTTTGCCTCTGATAGCTGGACTTAACTTTAACAAAACCAGATACTAATGAGCGTATTTGTATAGCAACCATGTCAAATTGTTCACCTAAAGTTTGTTTCCCTAATTTAGTAACTAAGTTAATAATTTCTACAAATACATATTCCATTTCTTTTACAATTACATCCATTACAGAGTTATTAACACCACTTGCAATTATAGAGGAACAGAAATTACCTAAAATTTCTGAAACTATTTTTATACCAGTATCAACGGAGATATTTTCAAAAGTTTTGGGATCCTCAAAGTCGATATTAATCTCTTGTTGAGCTTCACTAAAATTGGAACTATTTAAAGTTGGCTCAAAAAATAGATTTGGTATCTGGGAGCCTATTTCTAGAAACTTATCGTGTGACTTTACATGACGTAAAAATCCACTCCATGTCCCTAACGTTATATTACATGAACTAAAAGGGCAAATTAATTGAGGAAAATTACTGTGTCCATAATTATGTACAAATTTTAAATGAGTTTGAAACTCACTCGCCCTTAAAACTAATATCTGACAGACTGGGCAAGTAAACATTTTTTTAAATGAGATTATTAAAAATATTACTTAATTGAGTAAAAACACTTTTCACCTTTCCCGAAAGATCAGTACTGTCCACGTCAACCTTATAAATATAAACTTGAAGAAATTTCCATAGGCCTTGCAAGTTCTTGTCGTATTCTGCTCCGAAGACGTAGTGTGATTTGAAGAGGAGGTCAATTGCTTGTGCAGAATTCTTAGCGTCAATTGGCAGCAGTACTTTATCTACAACGAGATAAAAGGAAGAAAGTGTTTTCTTGTTTTCTCCAAGACACAAAAGGTTTGGTTGTCTCTTATCCTCGCTCCAAGTATCCAGGATGGATGGTAGAGGAGTTGCAGTCTGGAAAAAAAATGTTATTAAATTCATAACAACAATTTGAATAATTAAAATAGTTAGAATACATTTTAATTTAAAAGTCATTATGTACCTTATAAAATGAGATCAGCAAATTCTTTGCTTCATCAATTGTACACCGACTCCCTTTTCCTCTCCCTTGGGCAGCTGGGGGGATTAAATAAAGAAGAACGAAGAGTGCTGCTACTTCAGAGTCCCAATTATCTTTAAAATAAAACGAATTTTGATAAATTTCAAGGAAAACTTTGTTTTAAATAAACCAAATTTTTAAAAAATAGTATTTTGCAAACCAGACTCCTCTGTTAGAAATTTACATAAAGACGGGGATTGCTTTAAGTCTTTCACTTTCTCCAGCAGCTGTGAGGAAAATGACGGCCAAATTCTTGTAAAGTTTTCTTGTGATTCTCCTTGAAGAAGAGAAAATTCCAAGCGGATCTAACATAAATAAAAATTAATGTTTAACTTAAATAATTAAAAATACTGACAAATAATATTGATTTAATCGGATTATACTAAAAAGTCGCAGTCCGCAAATTTTGTATAAACCAGCAGGATTGATTGTGGATTGACTCGTCGTAAGTAATTTCTGTGCTCGAGGGTGTCGTGCGCCAGTTTAATTATTTCTGCGGATCCCGATTTTGCACTGCTGCCATTTAAACTCCTAACTAACTCGTCATATTGTCCGTTGTCAACGTTGTCATCCAGTTTTGCAGTTTTAGGTTTAGGTCCGCCAGTTCCAAGCTGTGTCTTCTTTGCCCTTAATTCCTTCTTTTTTTCAGTGGTTTTCAGTTTTTGGTGAATTGTCCTCAATCTCCGTTGGATTAGTCCTGACCGTCCAATTTCATCAAAAAGTATATCCTGCAATGCAATAAAAATTATTTAATTACGAAAATTAAATATGAATTAATTATTTATAAAAGTTATATGGTTTACCAAGCCTTCAGTTGACCCAGCGTATCGCCAACATGGAATATATTGAATAATTGCTGACGCCAAATTCTTTTGGTCAGAAGAACTTGGAGATTCACTAAAATTACAAAAAATACAAAAATCAAGTTTAAATATTTTATGGAGGAATTTTAAATACAAATAAATACTTCTTACCCTTTTAGCTCCACAAGTTTTGAAACAAATTCTTGCACAAGAATCACAGCTGACTTGTCATCGACAAACCCTTTTGTGTTGCAATCTGCTACAACTCTGCTAATTTCTTGATTATCATTAATTGAATTACCCAGCACCTAAAATAAATAATAAATAATAATATTTTAACTGTGGGTAATTAATAATTTTATTTTTACCTGATTAAAACCATCCTGTTGCAGCCGTTGAATTTTGGATGATGGTGAATGGGTGACTGAAAAGTAAATAAATATTTATGTACTTATATATTTAGACATTTAAGAATATAAATATACGATTAAAAAGCTCACACATTAACTCGGTACTTGAAGAGCTGTTCCTGTCGTCAGGATTCAAATTAATTGTTATATGATGAGATTCTTCTCCACCCAACTTAAAGACTATATTTGGAATGTTTTCAATTTCTA